CTGTCTTGTCTGGACAGACCCCTAGGCCTCTAGCTAGATTCCTAGCATAGGCTACCACAGCTTATAGCTAGACCACGCGCTATCCGGAACGCCCTGTGTGTTGCCCAACTAGGCATCATACTTGTACTGATAGTATTTTCGGCTGCAGTCGACCTTCACGATTACACCTTGCTTGTTACTCGCCGCTACCCATCAGTTGTTCGTTTTTCTACCTGTACCACGTCGTCTGTGTCTACCTGCCACTGTAAATAGTATTCAACTCGTTAATCATCTTGTTGGTTTGTAAGTAAATTTATGAATTTTCTTCACCTACTACTTGTCGCGCTTTTTTCCTCTCTCACACTTGGCATCCCCAAGCGTGTCTGGGTTGGTGTCACTACTCAGTGCCCCACTCGACATGCAACTGAGGCCATTTTCCAAACACCATCCTTGAATTATGGCCCACAGCTGTGATCTCATGTTAGGGTATGCCCCGCTCGGTTCTCAGGCTGTGTCCACCCATTGGCCTTGTTGTGTTAGACAGCCCATCTCTTTTCAGGGCAATGAGAAGCTGTGTGCGTCTCCCAAGCTTTTCAGAAATCTATTTAACCCCAGTTGCCCATCTTGAATCCTTATAATGCATATGCCTATTTCTATAAACCAATTCCCAAAATACAGACCTTTAAATACCATTTCTAAGTCAACACATTCCATCCCATGAGCTACTTGACATTACACTGCTTCGAGCCCTACTTCCTAGGAGCTTGGTACTTTTTTTACTTTTAATTATTAAGCTCTGTAACCTGAATGCCAGGAGGCATGCAGAGACTTTGGTGACGGCACCATTATGTTCTCAGCCCTTGGCCTTGAGTACTTCCAAGGTGACTAGAAATCAGAAGGATATACTTTAATCTGACAAAAGTTGATTGTTATGTACATAAAAGCAGAGACAGGCTCTTTTTTGTATAAAAGAATCTGAAATGCTTCTTTTTTCTTCAAACTTGATAATTACTTATACACGCTTACCGTCTATACCTAAACCCCACATCTAAGACCTTTTGTCCTTCTTACTGGCCCTGGCTTTTACACCATTTTACCTTGCTAAGCCCCTTTTTTACTTCAGGGACACGCACCTGATGTGCCCAGCCTCTTCATGTTCCAGTAGCTAATACAAAATGGTAATCCAACCTTCATTCTTGGATATGGAGTAATCAACATGCTCAATCGTCCTTGAATTTGCTCTGAAATGAATGAATGATGTTTTGACTTGTTTTATCCCTTTCCCCTGATATTCTGTTACTATTGCAGAATTCCCGTTTCATTCAGTTACTACTTACTTTCGTCCTTTGGCAATTTTTTTTTTTTTTTTTTTGCGAACTGGCAAATAACTCTTCTTACATAATGTCTGACACTCAACAGAAAATGTTTGTGTTACGTGATATATGCCATCCGAAAGTTATTATTTTAAAATCTCAGACAGCAAGTTTAGAGACATATGTTTATTCATCCTATGAAATACTTGTAGGAAAATGTGAGTAGTAGGAGTGATGATTCTTGCATTAATTGGAAAGGGTATGTGTATTATGTTAAGGATGAGAATTGTATATAGGATGCCTTATGGACAGAAACAATATATACATTTATCTTCTACAAGAAAACCCCATACTGTAAATGCAGTGCATCTTACCCTTTATTAAATGTTTGAAAGAAGTGGCAGGCACTATTTGTTTTCTTATTATCTAGCTTAGCAATGATTATTTAAAGGTCAATGTGAAAAATTCAAAGGACAAAGTGATGCAATAATTTTTTCATAAAGTACCTTGTACTGAAAAGTTCTTTTTTTCAAGTAGATATTTCATTCCTTTTCCTTCATAAGTCTGATCTTCTTTAAACTTCTGAACTGTCCAAAAGACCAACAATTGATTGGCAGCTCCTTTCAACTTTCCAGAAAAGTACTTAATAGTTACTTAAGTTTATTCCTTTTTCAGACAGCACGCAAAGCATATTACGTTCTAAACATAAACTTAAATTTAAATGTCTTTACATGCCATCCAGAAGAGGGATGCTTTTTTGGATAGGGGCAGGGTTGAGAAACAGGCAAACTCTATTACTTTAAGTTGTTCCTATGACCTTATACTTATTTTTCATTGGTGTTTTAAAAAAGGAATATAATTAAAAAGTCAATAAAAAGGAAAGCAAGGGCACTAAAATCCCGAGATAACTGAATCACAGGAGGGATATATACCTTAATAATTAACAGCAATCATTAAGGTGAGAAAAGAATGGTATAAGTAGTTCTTCATGCCAAGCCCACAGTCTTTGGCAAATGGAAATAAATCCCAAGTATAAAAAACATACAGAAAAACACATTTACCTGGCATAACATAGAAGATGAAAACCTGGAGGATTCAAGTGAGTGGGTTCCTCCCCTGCCACAAATACTTAACAAGAAATTTTAAAATATATTAGAAATAATACATTTGTGAGACCTGGTGAGTCAAAGGCCTAGCAGAGAATGAAGGAAAAGACTGAAGTGGATAAGGATCTTTTGGGGAAAAAACAAGTTATTCATAACCTGTTCAAATCAAATCCTATTTAAGTGTCAAAGTAATACTTGAAAATGATACCGGACAGGATAGGCAACCCCCAGCACAGGTGCCAGAGTGTGGCATGTGAAGGCATTTTGCTTAGCATGTATGCCTTGGGATGGATGGTAGGAAAGGGGCCGGGGCAGGATTGCACTGCTACAGCAAGGTTTGGGCCCCTTGTGGCTCCCCCATTGTCCACCCCAGCACACCAACATCTTACAAGTTGAGGTTGCAGATTGTTTCTGGTGCTCAGCCCAAAAAATATTGCTGACCCCTGATGAAGGAAGTATATAAGAGGTCTATAGGAAGGGGACAACATAAGTATAGGCTTGGAAATACTTCGTAGAAGGATAGATTAAACCATGTGTTATAGAAAGGGCACAAATAGAAAAGGACATGATTAAAAGAAATCAGAAAAAAATATGGAAAAGAAAAGTTCCTATAATGTAATTGAATGGTTGCCCATTTATAATGGATGAAAGGATAGAAGTTTAACACAATACATAAATAACCTGGAGAGTTCAATACTACAAGAATATCAGCTATTTATACAGTAAAAATATCTACCCTTACAATGTAACAGGGGCCCCTACTCCTATAACTGAAGCAAAAGAAGAGCAACGTTACAGAGAACGGGCTGTGGGATACAGCTAATAGAAAGGTGGGCTGCAGAGCTATAAGTCTGCTTGCAGAGAAGCAAGCTGCAGGTGCAGGCCATGGAGAGGCAGGCTCCAAAGCAATAAGTCTGATAACTGGTAAAAGAGGAACTCCTGTGCCTGCTTAGGGAAAGGGACCCTGGCAGCTGGAACAGTAGGAGCCAGGCTGTGGTGTATACATGGGGTTGCAGGGCTGGCTCTCATCTTGAAGGAAGGAGGTCTGCAGAGTCTTACCCTGAGATAAGTAGTTTATGTTTCATGGATTTTTTTCTGTTTGTGCTGTGAAGTAGGGGTACAGTTGTAGGGAAGAAAGGAGACTAAGGTGGATGCCTGGAGAAGGCACTTTGCATTTGGTAGGTGGGCTTAGAGCCCAAGAGAAACAGGTAGTCATAGGGCGAGTCAGAGACCCCTGACTAAGGGCTGTTGGTCAAGGGCAGGTGTCTGCTGGCCCCAGGGGAGCTCGTCAGGGATCCGAGACCATGTTCCTAGAGAAGGTCTGTTAATATCACATGGCAGAGAGAGAAAGAGACCCAGGGAAGAGACAGTTAGGGGTGATAAATAGGGATCTACTTAATTTGCAATGTCACAACTTTTACAGAAACTGCCAAAAAAGGTGGAGGGTGGATTTCAAAAGTAGAGAGAGAGAGAGAGAGATGCCCTGCTTAGGAAATTATGCTGAAAGATCAGGCCAAACCAAGCCATCCTGAGGATGAACAGAGCAAAGGGAAGTACCCCAAGGCCTGTTCTGGTATTCTGAGGGCATCCTTCCAAATTTGTGTTTGTTTTCCAACTAGGGGTGGAAGTTGTATCGGAGGAGTACCCTGAAAGATAGTGAGAGAACAGGACTACAGGAGCTACAAGGGGGTGACACAGCCATCATCAGAGGTGGGGTCCTTTTTACAATAGTAAATAGAATAAAAATCTTATAAGGCATATGGACATCGTTGTATTAAAGAGAAGGTGTCATTTCTAAGGAAATAAGAATAAACTTTTCCTGCAGACTTGTTGTTACAGTACAGGATCTCTCGTACTTCTCTCTAAAGCTTTTTAGTACTGATTGGAATAAAAAGTGGGATTAAGAATTAGGTGAGGTTCAAGTCATAGCTGTTACAATATTTCCACTTGTGAAATTGCCTTTCAGTATTCAAATAACTGACAATGGTGCAGGTGTGAGCCTGCATTAGCTTGTCTTGTTTCATAATTAAGATTAAAAAAAAATCCTTCATATTTTACTTCATATTTCTATGTTATATATAGCTCTCTACTACCATACAACCAAGTGAATTTCTTCTTGCTTAGCTTTTTCCAGTTTCCTGAGAAGGTGTTCAGTTGTAACCTATCCAAGTGAATATTAAATACTTTCCAGTTTCCACTATTGATACTGTTGATTTGTCATGCGTTATTGATCTGCAGCCAATTTTCTTTAACTCATTTTGCATTCCTTTCAAGTTTGAGTTTCTAAAGGCCAATGTTTCCTTCTTGTTAGAAGGCTATTTAAGATAGGCCAAGGGAAGACTGAATTTTTGTGGCTTGCTTGTATGAAAAGTTATCCCTTGGTACATCTACATGAGATGTTTATTATGGAGTAGACTAATTAGCGCCACAGTAAATGTCATGCATCTACACAGGCCCCTACTAGGCTACAGTAAACTAATTAATTCCCCAGCAGGATAGTACTTGTAAATACACGTACTATCTTGCTGTGGAGTTTTTTTTTACTCCTCAGCAGCGCACACACAGTTGCTGCCCTGACTGGCTGGGGCATGAGGGTGCTTTAGTGTGGGGGCTGCCTGTTGGATAGCCCTACAGTGGAACACCTTTGTGCCCCAGCCAGCCCCTCCACAACACACTGAATCATAGACAATTAGAGTTGGAAGGGAACTCGGGACATAATTTGGTCCAATCCCCTGCTCAAAGCAGGAACAAAGATCATTCAAGCCAGGCCTTAAAAACCTCCCTGCATGGAAATTCCCCCCTCCTCTCTAGGTAAGCTGTTCCAGTGCTTCACCATCCTCCTAGCGAGGAAAGTTTTCCCTAATATCCAACCTAAACCTCCCTTGCTGCAACTTGAGAGCATTGCTCCTTGTTCTATCATCTGCCACCATGGATAACAGTCCAGCTCCATCCTCTTTGGAACCCCCCTTCAGGTGGTTAAAGGCTGTTATCAAATGCCCTAACAGTCTTCTCTTCTCCAGACTAAGCCCAGCTGCTCAGCCTTTCCACATAGGTCATGTGCCCCAGCCCCCTAACCATTTTTCTTGTCTTTTGCTGGACTCCCTCCAACTTGTTCACATCCTTCCTGTAGTGGGCAGGGCAAAACTGAACACAGTGCTCCAGATATGGCATCACCAGTGCAGAATACAGGGGAATAATTACTTCCCTTGATCTGCCTGCAATGCTTCTACTAATGTAGCCCAGTATGCTGCTAGCCTTCCTGGCAACATGGGTTCACTGCTGTCTCAGACCCATCTTAATGTCCACTGTAAGACCAGGTCCTTTTCTGCAGAGCTGCTGCTTAGCCAGTTCGTCCCAAGCCTTTAGCAGTGCATGGGATTCTTTTGTCCTAAGTGCAGGATTTTGCTCTTGCCTTTGTTGAACCTTGTGGTCACATCCACATGAGCGAGCACATGCCTGTTGTGGAGTCTCAAAGCAGTTTGACGCCTCCAGCGTGCTCCTGGAGGCTGGGTTCTCCAGAGATGCTCTAGCACATGACCAGAGCATCTCTATGGCTGCTGCATGTTTCTGCTGCTCCAGCATGATGCCTCACTGTGCTGGAGCACATAGGAATGGGGCAAGGCTGCAGTGGTGCGTTGGACCCAGATGCTATCCCAGGAAAGTAGGGATGTGGGGGTGGGGAAGACTGTGGGGGGGTGGAGGG